TCATTCTTGGGTAGTCTCAAATGTTTTTGTTTGTTTTTTATTGTTTCCTCACAAAGCATTAGGCAGACCACACAAACACTGCTATGCAGGAACGACAGTGGACACCAGTCTAAACTGTAACTGTGTCTCCCAACTTCTCCTTGCATTTCTATATTCACAGTAATCTTCCACACCAACAAATATAGCCTAGGACTCAGTGGTATCTTCCCTCATGCTCTACAACCAGAGGTTTAAAAACTAGCAAAGTGCAGGCCAAATACAGCCTGCTGATGTGTACCGCCTGGCCTGCAAAATGTTTTAAAATATTCGGAGTTAGGTGCCAACATTTAGAAATGAAGTGTTTCAGAAATCAGGAGATTTCACATAGAAAATCCAGATTTTCAGATTTTTCTTGAAAAAACTGGAAGATCTGGCACCACCAGGCTGGATTCCCCAACATCAAAAACTGGCTGAAGTCAAATACAGGTTGTCCCCTGTGTGAAGGACATGTGTTCTCTGGTTTGCCAGGGTCCCATCAGGCCTCTGTCCCTCATATACCCTCCAGGCCTCGATAGGGACCTGAATTAGTGACCACCAAACTTTCTCTCTCAGGACTAACTGCCCCAATCAAGTCAACCAGTTGCAGGATATTTTAGGACATGTGACTGGAACATGAGCCACATTCCAGGCACCAGAATTAGTAATGAAAAAGAACTACAACTTGCCACAGGAATCGGATGGAAACAGAAAGCACTAGTATTGCCTTTTTTTCTTGCTCTTCTCTTCTTGTCTCTACTATTCTTACTACAGATACCAAGTTTGAAGTCCAATAAGTGACACAGATAGTACTAAAATAATTATTAACTTCAAGTAGAGCAGATAAAGCGAGTTTCCAGAAAAAAAATCATCTTTCCTGGTCTTAAAAACTGTTTAAATGCTTTTTTAAAAAGGAGTCCTTCCAGAGGTAAAGTTCTGTTTCCTCACCCAAATTGTAGAAAGCGTATTTCCAAAAGGAAATTCTTTAAAAATCTTGGTAACTACTATTTAATTTGGCATGACTTCATAACAAACATTCTCACTTACCCGATTATAAAGCTGTGTGTACATCGTCATAACAAAAATGAAGGCAGCATGAATACAACCCAGCGGTGCTAAAAGGAGAAACAGTGTGAAGGAAGCATGATTTTGGTAACCACAGCAGTTGTTGATCCAGGGACAGTGATGGTCCATCTTCATCACACATCTACAAGAAAAACTCACATAAAACATGAGGTAGGAAAATCCTGTCTACTTTCAATAACTCTGGTCTTCAAAAGACTAAGCAAACAGGAATCTAGCATGTCCATGCATGAGTCACAGAGGCACGACACTTCATGGAACAGAAAGAAAAATCTTTATGAGTTTTTAAACAGCTCTGAACAGTGACTTCTTTTAAATGTTAAACATGACAAGAAAGGGCAGGCTTTGTAACAGCTTCCGAGGGGAAGATGTCTGCTACAAGTGAACTTGTTTAAAGAAGGAGGCCCACTGAGAGGTTCATTATGAAGAGATGAGCGTGCTTCCTGGTTCTCTAGCTCTGACAGGTGGTGTCTGACGTGTGATATGACAGAGCCTGAATACAATCATGAATCTCCACTGGGGTTGATGGAGCCTAGCGCACGCTTGTAACTTGCTTCCTGTTCTCATCCTTTAGACGGGGCGTCTCGGAGCTAAGCAAGCTGACTCCGGAACACGAGATGTGGTACAATAAGCCATGTCTTACTGTGCTGCCTTTCCTTGAAGTTTTGAGATGAAAATTTTCCTGCCTCAAACTAAACTTCATTTACCGTCAATGGCTTCCCTAAATCTCAACGTTCTCATCATAAACTTCCTATTTCTCAGAGGATATAAATGTTCACTAAAAAAAGGTTCTAGATTAATTCATATATTTTTTTTACAGACTCCGTTTTCTTCCAATTAAGTTTTCTTTATTAAAACTGATAACAGGCACCTGGATTTACTTACTAGATTTGTATAAAGTACAAATGTTAGTCAACTAAATGATGGAAAAACAGGTCTCCTTTACAATTTAGACTCAGAACAATTCTAAAGCTCAAGATGACAGTCAACAAGCACTGGGGTCTGAAAACAATCTGAGGGTATAACTTCTTACCCTACTCTTGGCAGGGCAAGAAGCAAAGTAAATCTGCACTTTTCTAGAAAAACCTCTTCACTAAAAACAAAAAAGAATGGGACTTATTTACTATCGGAATTGACAATTTAAGAGTAAAATGAAGATTAAGGGCACTTAAGTATTTTGACAACTTTGTAAAATACCCACCTTGCAGAAAATAAAACTAGGATTGATGCAGCAGAAAGAATAACAACAAAAGACCAGCAATCAAACTGATCAATCCCCAGTAAATAGCAAAGTCAGACAGTACCTGTTACACTTTCTGCAGTGATGTGACCGTGGTGCCTTGTACGCTTGGCAGACTTTACAATACTGGAGGTACACGCTATCCTGAGAATTTTCCTTGGCAGCAAAATAGAAACAAAATGTAAACTTCTGGGTAATTGGAAAAGTGATGCTGCTGTTACCAAAAATTCATTATTTAAAAAGATTTTAGCTCAAATAAAAGGGCTAGAAATCCAAGCGTCTGTCCGTTCCCTATCCCCCATAAAAGAAAAGCAATCCGTAGGAAAGTACTTATTCATAAGGCTTGACTTGTTATTAGTAGGCTGTCCATTGTTCTGAACACTTTATGATTAAATCAGCCATTTCTAGAGTTTTTCTCAGTTATTAAAGGGATGTTAATATACTACATGAAAAAAGATCCTAGAGCCAAACCACACTGTGGAATTGAGGTATATGATATGCAGTGTTTCCTAGAAACTTATGACCATGTACTCATCACCACCCCTCCATTTATTTTTTTCCAACGCAGAAGTATTCAATGAAATTGTTTTGGGAAATACTAACTGAGATCATACTTTCAAACCAGTATGAAATAAATTCTTTGAGCTTTAAATGATCAAGTGATTAGAATAATATGCTTAGGCTCTACTAACGTGTTTGATATTACTGATTAGCAGATAAGGCAAAAACTAAATATATGATTATCATTACAGTTCATCATCTTAAGGAATCTTTCTTACCGGTTTCCACCCCAGAGGGACGAAGCCAGGACCAACAAACATGGCATTGAAGTAATTATAAAGAATCATGACAGTCCAATTTATCAACATGATGAAATTCACGCTTCCTCCAGTGGTATGTAAGGGCCAGTACCACAACACGGAGTCAATCATGGCCATGGTAGAACATATTGCTATAACACCAAGGGCTATAATGGGACCCCAGTGACAAAGTCTCTTTAATTCTTGGAGATTTTCAAACTTGATAACTGAGCAGAATGTACCCATTTTGGTGAGGAAGAACGCCTTCCTGTTTTTAAAGAACTACAGATTTCCTTTTTCTGTGCACACATTTCCATGTGCCACAAGTCCATGTGTGTTCCTTAATTGTCATGCCTTTACGCTGTGGGATGTTAACGCAGATTAAGCCATTTTCACTGTTACACACTCAAAGCTCTTTATCTTATCTGGGAGAATCCAGTATCTTGATTTGAAACCCAATCTAAAGAAAGCAAAATGAGAAAGTTCAGTAAGACATTATATACTATATTTGTTAAGTCCAACAATCACCTGAACAAAAGCAGCTCATAAGTACATTACCATGGAATGAGTATCTCGCCAAATGTCAAAAAGAACTATTTTCATCTTAGCCAAACTAGGGTTCAAGTTTGAATGGCTTGTAAACTGGATATGTGATTCTAAAATAGCTGTTTATATACTTTGTTTCCAACTTGTCAGAGGACTGTGACTAAGCAATTGTTTAGTGAATGGTTGGAGGGAACAAAGACTTTTAAAGCTGGGAAGTAGGGTCTAAGGGTTGATCTAATCTAGCTTCCTTCTTCATAGAAAAGAAAAAGGCTTGGAGATGACAGGTGATTAAATCACGGTGACAAGTAACAGCTGTACTCAGAACAGAACCCAAGTCACCAAACTCCCTTTACAGAGTTCTAATCTGCCTCTTACTCAGTCTCTAATTAAATCAAATATGGTCCAGACATGGTCCACACCATTTGCCTGTGATTGCCCCCAACCACTAACGTAAGGGTCCATTTTGGCCAAAGGTAAAGAAGCAGGAAGGTGAAATCAAAGAAACTGTAAGGGGAGGAAGGGAGTGGAGGGGAGAGAGAAGTGTGTGTGAAATCATCACTGGAGGCGTATATGAGAATGAATATGAATGACAGTATTTGAGAAAAAAATAAGAAGTGCCTCCTGGAGCCAGGGACAGGGAAGGCAGGACGGCGAGCGCCAGGAAGATCGGTAGAAGAGCATTTCAGACTGGCCTGGAGTAAGTCCAAGGAAGAAGGTCTGAGAGATAGGGTAACAGAGACTTCCACGCAACAGATGCCGCTGCTTTGTGCCTCAGTTTCCCGCCCGCGTCATGGAGCAGAGCGCTTAGAAATCCTCCCTCCGGGGAGGAAGATCTTGGTAAACGTGGTTGGTCTCAACATTTTGGAGATTCTGGCCTCCCTGAGCGAAGACCGCCAAAATCATGGTTACGTCCCCTGCTTTGCGTCCCACCTCGGTCTGGTCCTCAGTGCCCGCTCCTCGGCCATCGCATTTCCGGGGCGGCCCGGGCTCACCCGGAGCAGTTTCCCTCCTGCTCGGATAACTCCGTCACGGGTACCCCGGCCTAGTGCAAGTGAAAAGCAAATACTGCGTGCTAGAGGCTGGAATACAGGACCAGCCACGACCCTCCTGCCTCTCCGCCAGCGCCCTCGCCGCTGCTCTCCCGCTCAGGCTCTGTGCGCAGTCTCTGCGACAGCCACTTCCGGGAGGTTCGTCGCATCAGACTTCCCTCGGGAAACAAGAGCCTCTGACTTCTAGCTTGGGGAGCCGGAGCTGCTTTCCAAAACGTGGAAAGGTAGAAAAATGTTTTCTGTGCTCTCTGAGAACCCGCATATTTTCTTTGGCTTTGGGGGTTACTAATTGAAGTACTTTTCCTCAGCGAATTTCTTAATGTTGAACCCTAAGTGGAAAATAAAAAGCTCGCCCAGTGCAACTTCCGGGGGACCAAGATTGCGACGAACAACCAGGAAGCGGCTTGGTTGGGAGCTGTCCCGGGTTCTCCGCTCTGCTCTGGAGGGAGATTCCTGGCGTGTTCACGCAGAGTTTTCCCGCCCCGCGTGACCCCTGCTACGACCTAGGCTCCGGCCCGGGCCGGCCACTCCGGAGCTGCCATGTCGTCCGACTTCGAAGGCTACGAGCAGGACTTCGCGGTGCTCACTGCAGAGATCACCAACAGGATTGCGAGGGTCCCCCGACTCCCGCCCGGTGAGAGCCCTGCTGGGGCTGGACGGGGGTTGGGGGCAGGGGGGCGGAGAGTGGGGAGCCTCCGGCACCGAGCGGTGGAACGCCGCCTGAATAAGTGTCTCTGAGGCGCGAGCTTGGAGTGAGGTGACGTTGGGGCCTCTCCAAGGGATGGAGCTTGAGGTTGTTTGAGGGTAAGGGGAAAATCCAAGGTGGGTTGTGGAGGGCAGTGTAAAGAGCCTTTAGAGTCTCAGCCATCTGGGCTCTGATCTGGATTGCATCGCCTTGTTACTTGTGTAACATTGGGACTATTTCCCTGAGTCTTAGTTTTGGTTGGGGTTTGTTTGTAAAATACAGATATGTGAGAGTATTCAAAGAGAATGAATGAACGTACCGGGGTCATGGGTCTGCATTTTGCAGCAACGTGGTTTTGTTAGTAATGAAGTTATTATTTATAGGCCGCAAAACAGAGTTAAGATTCATGGTGCCTGGATTCAAGTCCTAACTCTGCCACTTAGAAGTTGTGGTATTTAGACAAGTTTTTAAACTTCTCTCAACTTTCCGTCTTGGTAAAATGGGGACAATTGAATTCTCTCATAGGGTTGTTGTGAAAATTAAATGATTTAACATATGTAAAGCCCTTTCTTGATATTAGCTGCTGTTATCTTTAGTATTTTTTATACCCTTAACCCCATTTTTTATTTCTCATCCTTCTTGGGAGTCTGTAACCCAGTGTTGTGTAAAACTTGGTGGAGAATAACTTTTCTCACTTTTAAAATTTCACAACTCTTATCCAGAAGAGTTTTTGTGTGTTTTTGTGTTTTAGCACAATTTATTTTCAGTGCTGGTTGTCAGCTATGTGAAGGTGGGAGCTATGTTTGAGTCCCTTGGCATTTACTTAGAAGGGACTCAGGAAAATGTTTAAGTGAATAAAGAACATAACTATGATATCTTGTGATTTTTGTCTGTAGGACATTGTTTTAGGATTTCTCTCTAAATACAGATCTGAGTATTTAGTTGCAGATAAGATTGTTACTTTTGGGCCTAGTTTTGTTAGGGAAATTGAACCATCTAGACTTGACCCAACCTTAGCTCTGTGGTATGAAGTGTAGGAAAAGGAGTGCTGATTGATCTGTGAACTGGTGGGCAATTTGATTTTCCCACTTTGTTAGTCAACCCTTGATGCCAGCAATAATTTCTACAGGACCTATCCTATTTATCATTCCTCTTCCCTTTCCCTGCCTCCTCCCCTAAATTTATGTGTTTATATAAATAATTTTCTCCCTTTATTTCTTTGTTTTTCTTCTCCTCACCTATTTTCTACTAAATAGGGGTTTTTGCTTGAAGCCAGGATCTCAGAACTGACACCCCACTCATCTCCTGAAGTCCCAGTTAGTTCTGAAGGAGGTGTATGATGTCTTAAAGAGGTTTATGAGTCCGAGTGAGGGAACAACAGGAGATAACCAAGGTAGCGTATACCCCCGAGCTCTGCTGCCGCGGAGGGTTTTTTTTTGGCAAAAGTGGCTGATGGCCTCATCACTTCATGATACATCACCTCGCCTCTTCTCTTCAGTTCTGCTTTTGTCCACTGCCCAAGATCATGTTGATTTTTGTTGTCATTGTTGGAAAATGTTTCCTTTGACTTCAGTCCCAGAACCTAAAAATATTAGGACTTGTGGTTTCAGTGGGATTTTTTGCTCATTTTAAATTGTAATAGTTTTAGCAGTAGAAACATTTTTTTTGTTTGGGCTAATAGCTTTTATATTGGGAAGCTGTTTTATAAAGTAACAAAGTCATTCCTGGGGGCAAAGTTGTAACAGCCAGTCCCAAGAAAACAGATTTGTTACAATTGATTTTTTTTCTTACCTTTATATTTTAATATAACCATTCTTACCACATAGAAGGAAACCTCTGAATTATGTACCTTAAAAATAAAGGCCTTGACTCTCTTTAGCCATAGTATAATATAAAGCCCAAACACAGCAGCTACATTAGAAATTGAAAGGAGATTGTATAGCTGACACTGGAAAAATGCTTACTGACTTGAATAATTAAATGCTAGTAATTCTTAAAAATGCTGTGATTTCCCTCTTAATAATTACTTTTACTTACTTCATAATCTATTTCTAATTGACAAATAGAAAAAGATGAAAAATATATCTATGTAGTTATGAATTTTAGATGTATATCTGTGGGTTAACAGATATTAATATGTACAATCATGGGAAAAACAGTATATTTAAAAGTAATTATAATATCTTTCTCTGGGCATCATTGGTGGTTGACCTAGAATTTACTTGAGTTAAGAAGGTTGAAAATTGGAGCACAATTTTCAGTCAAGGCAGATTATTCCCCCCAATTTTTACTTATTTAAATTACAGTAGTGGGCAGGATTGATTGCAATTAACTTCACTTTCTAAAGTGCATGTACAATGTATTAAAGTGTTACTTCCAAAGAGAATAGAAAAGATTGAATATTTTTAAACTTTATTTTAAAAAAGAAATTTGACTACTCTGTGACAAACAATAAAAAAACTTTGCTCTTAGACTAAAGTGTTTGAATTTTAACCAATTTTAGTCATTGGACTTATGAGATAGATCAGCCCCTTCTTGAGTAATATTTTTATGGCATTGTATTTGAAATTTGATTTTAATGGTTAGTATTCTGTGGTAGTCAGGAAAATGAAAGTGTGGAAACCGTAACTAATACTAATTATGAAGTTCCTTTTCCTCTAATGCTGAATCCAAAATAGGGGGACAGTTTACAGGTACAGAGGTTCCATTACATCAGGTAGGATTCCTGAAGGGTCTTAAAATGTTCTTTTGCAATTAGTTGCTTAGCTCACGATTCACAGAGAGTTAAGTGGTCTGTTGTGAAACCTATTCTTCTGTAGCTATTGTAAGAACTACCAAGAAAGGCTTTATGGCAAATTGGTAACGATTCATCCATGGCATCAGATCTGTTTAGAATCCCAGCTCTGCTACTTGCTAGCTGTGCAGTCTTGGGCAAAATGCTTGGCCTCTCTAAGTCTGCCTCCTCGACCTGGACAACTGGGGGTAGTTAATAGTTTCAACCTTACAGTGTTATAAGATTCAAATGAACTAAAGCATGTAATACACTAGCACAATTTTTTTTTTCCCCAGAGAAAGTGCCTGGGATAAGTTAGCCACTAGTAATGTTATTGCTGCTGGTGAAGACAACAGCTGGTAGGGCTAGTCAGGACCCAGCTTTTCAGACTTGGTGATATGAATTGAACTCTGAAGGAATCTTGGGCCTCAATTTTTGCTTCCTTTCCATGCAAGACTAGAGTTGGATGAATCTCTCTTGCTGAACACAGGGAGGTGAGTGATTAGGGACTTTGGGATATGAACTTTGAATTAGGCCTTGAACTCAGGAAATCAAGGATGGAGTCAGGGAGAGAAGTGGAATTGGTGGGACAAGATGGGTGTCCTTCCTGGAAGGAAATGTTCCAGTCTAGCTGATTGGTTATGCCAAGCCCTGGAGACTTTTGGAGACCATCTAGACATAGCTAGGTATAGAAGCTGTAACATTGTTACATGATTCTCTCTTGCCTTTGTAAGATGGTTGTAGTAAGAGAATTCAGAAAAGTCTGCTGTTATTTATGTATACTGTAATTCATAAATAAACTACAGTATATGTGGCTTTGGAGCTGTAATGTTGATATGTAGCTATTGATCACTTGAAATGTGGCTGTTGCCACATAGTGAAATGACAATGTTTTGAATATATTGGGTTAAATATCATTAAAACAAACAAACAAAAATTAAAATTCCACCTTTTTTTTTACTTTTTAAAATGTGGCTACTAGAAAATTTAAAACTACATGATGTGACTTGCATGCACTGCATCTCTGTTGTTCTGTAAAGTTAGTTGAAGAGATGGTTCCAGTCCTAATCAGGAACTCGGGTGCAGAGTGAGTTGGAGTGGGTAGTACTTGAGTTGGGTTTATATACACATACATGCCCACACTCTAATTTCAGCAGAACCTCCTTTTCAACAGTTTAGTTAACCGAAGTAATGGCTTCACTGATTTCTTTAAAATAGACTTTTAGTTTTAGGGCAGGTGTAGATTTATAGAAAAATCACAAAGATAATGCAGAGAATCCTTTATATAGTCCATGCTCGGTTTCCTTTATTGTTAACATCCTCTGTTAATATGATACATTTATTGCAGCCAGTGAACCCATATTGGTAATTATTATTAACTCAAGTCCTTATTCAGACTTCCTTAGTTTTTTTTTTGTTGTTGTTGTTTTGTTTTGTTTTGTTTTGTTTTACCTAGTGTCCTTCTACTATTCTAGGATCCAATCCAGGATACTACAAAACATTTAGTAGTCATGCCTCCTTGGGCTTCTCTTACTTGTGATGGTTCTCAGCTCTTTCCTGATTTCTGATGACTTTACAGTTTAGAGGAATACAATTTAGAGATGTTTTCATAGAATGTTCCTCAGTTGGGATTTGCCTGATGTTTTTCTCATCATCAGACTGGGGTTATAGGTTTTTGAAAGGAAGACCACAGATGGAAAGCACCATTTCCATCATATCATATCAAAAGTACACACTTAAGATAACTTATCACTCCTGATGTTAACTTTGATCACCTGGCTGAGGTAGTATTTGTAATATTCTCCACTGTAAAGTTAGCATTTCCACCCTTTTCTGTAGTTTGGAAGGAAATCATATGGCTAGCCCACACTTAAGGAGGAGGGGGTCATGCTCCACCTCCTTGAAGGCTTAGTATCTATGTAAATTATTTGGAATTTATTTATTTGGAATTCTATACAGGAAAGATTTGTCTGTTCTCCACCTATTTATTTAGTCACATATCCATGAACTCATAATAGTTAATACTTTGTGCTGTATTCCAATACTACTTTATTTTGTTGCTCAGATTATTCCAGCTTTGACCATTAGAAGCCCTTTCAGTTGGCTTGTGTCCTTTTGATATACCCCCATCATTGTGCATTGTTTTTTTTTCTCCTTTTTTAGCACTTTCTTACTT